CCTTGGTTTTATTGCCTGTTAAGAGAAGGTCAAAATAATAATAATAATAATAATAATAATAATAATAATAATGATGATCCAAACCTCTAACTCTGATTCTCAGGGATGAGATTTCTGCGTTCTCGCAACGACTCTTGTGTTGGATGATTCCTTTCTTTAGTGCCCCTGTGGATTTCTGCACTGTGAGCCTGGCAAAGGGGTAAACACGCTGTGCTGGCGGGGAGGGAGGCTGGAAGCAGAGCTCGGGCAGGACCTCCCATCCCTGGCTCTGCTGAGCTCTTGTAGGGCTGCTTTGGGGCACAAGGTGGCCAGGGGACACAAGGAAATAAAGGTGGAAGGAACGAGGGTGGGAGGTGCCAGGCGAGCACATCCCTAAAAACCCCGTGAGGAAAGAGGAGAGAGTTGCACAGAGGAATTTTTTCAGGGGATCTCCCAAGCCCCAGAACTGTGAAGCTTCTCCAGACGAAGCGGTTGCTTAGGACGGGGAGAGATCCCGCTGGATCCCGGTGATCCCTTTGGGCACTGGCGAGGTTGGAGGGTATTGGATGCTACCAAAACGCTCAGGAGGTCTCTTCGTGCTCTCAGCAAAAGCCTTTCAGCTTCAGGCAGGGAGCAATTTGCTGTAGGGTGGTTCTTCACATCTCCTGTAGCTCTTCTGTTGAGGAAATTCAACCTGGTTTTTGTTTTTTCTTTTCCTGTTTCCTTCCATGTTTTTTTTTTTTCTTCCTTTTGTTCCGTTAATAATAACCTCCGGCCGATCTCATCCCTGGATTCTGCTAAAGGAGAACCCCTGTCTGTATCTCTGTCTCTGTATTTCTGTGCACTTCCAGTCAAGGCAGTGTGGGCAGCCGGAGCTCCCCGTGGGCTGGGCTGGGATTCCCAAAAAAAGGAGGGCTATGCAACAAGATGACACGTTCGGACACACATCCAACCCACCAACAGTCAGAAAAGACCTTCATCCATCCTGTAGCTTTACCTGCTGGATTTTCCTGTTTCAGGCTTCAGCATGATTGTGACCAAATGTTTGATACATTTATTTTAATTTTTTTTCCCCCCATTTAAATGAAGGCACAAACACTATTGGAAAGTTTTCAAGAAAACGTTACTCTTTTATTCCAGGAGGCTCAAGGGGAGGGGAAACACAATCTCTCTGCCCGTGCATGCAAACGCCGTAAAACACTGGAAAGCGAAAGAGATGTCTTTCTGTACTCAATAATTCTGTCTTTTCCCCCTTTCCTCCTTCATTTTAGACCCCCCCCATACCCCCAGCCCTGCACTAAAACCACAGCCAGACGATGGCCTTGGGTCACCCCCAATTCTTAGGCAGAACCTGAAGAAGAATCTCAAGTTGTCCAAATCCCCCCCTGCCTCGTAGGGCTCGATGACAAGGGATAGACAAGCCTGACCACAACTGTTCATAAATAACCCTTTCCAGACCTTTTTTTACAGCCTCTCTGCTGTCTCTTCAGTGCATCCATGATATTTCCAAGATTCCTCATAGTGAGTTGCCAAACTTGAATTGCACCGACCAGTTTTCTGCATCCAGAACCAGTCTCGTAGTTGGCTGTACTTTGAATAAATAATGTTTGCATGTAAAATATATACATATATACATATATATAAAATGAACA